CAATTCTAGGGGGCTGGATAATGAGCGTAGGTTTGAAAAAGATTTCATATTATTAGCTTTTATAAAGAAGTAGCATTTACAAAAGGACACGACAAAGTCTCCTGTAGTGTTAGCGAATCCTACGATTTTCAACCCCATTATAAATGGAATGCCATTATCACATAGTTTACTCTTTTGTCTCTTGGGCAGTTAGAAGCCTCAAACCCACTGGAATTTGTATGTATGTATGTATGCATGTATGTATGTATTCCCCTACCCCAGGTACCCAGATCTGGAATGAGTCTTTCTCTGTACAGAGACACAGAGACTTATCAATTACGAAAGCTTAGGCTTAGCTTAGGCCCATCCCATTAGCTCTTATAACTTAAATTACCCCACTTATTTTCATGTATGTTCTGTCATGTGGCTTGTTACCTCATGCTGCTCTTGCAGCTTTCTCCATGTCTGGCTGATGACTGTCTTCTTTCCAGAGTTCTCTCTGTCCTGCAGTCCTGCCTATATCTCTTGCCTAGCTATTGGCCATTCGGCTTTTTGTTACACCAATGACAGCAATATATTGTCACATTATGTACAAATATGAGTTGAGTCATCTTTTTAAGGAATTTCATGCACCTAAAGACCTATGATGCAGCAAATACAAAATGATTACCAATGAGTTACTTCCTCATTCAGAAATACCCTATTTATATTTAAATGCTGTAAAATCAGATGCCATGCAGTAGCTCTATATGTTTTAAAAATCATTTTGTTATTTTTAATTAGGTCTCCAAAAAAAAAGGGTTTTGAGAATTTAAGCTCTTTTCATCTAATTAGAAGAGATGTGGATGATTAAGGTGACAAATGACTTGTGAAATTAAAATAAAGAAGTATTTGTTTAAAAATAAAGCTAAACATTAAAATCTCTCAAAGAATGGAAGCACCTTGTGGCCACATAGCTCCATTTAACATTCAAGGGGTAATGGGTGTTTTAGTCTAGGCTGTAATATTTACATCTTTATCTATATCCATATCTATTTATAGAGGTATAGACTATGCATGTATGTATATAGTCACGAAAGCCAGTCTGAGTTGAAAGCAAGTGTGTGTCATACACAGGCAATCTGACAGTACTAGTGACAGGCAATATTAGTTAGGAAGCTGAAAGAATGGTGTGTAACAGGAATAATAAAAACCCAAAGACAGATGTTGGGGTTCAAGCTGAAGAGCAGAAAAGCAAAGTGGCAGCTCTTACTTCTACCAAGGCCCAGACCAAAGGGGGTGTGTGGTCCTGTCCTCAGAGTGACTGCAGACTGCAATGCTCTCCACCAAACCTCAGACTCCCTGAGACTGCACTGAGCTCCTGCCTTATAGTCTTCCCTAGTGCTGGGATTAAAGGCATGTCACCCCAAGTGCTGGGATCAAAGGTGTGAGCTCTGTTTCTCTTTCAGACAGACTCACTCTCATGCAGCCCAGGGTGGCCTTGAACTCACAGAGATCCATCTGCCTATGTCTCCCAAGTGCTGAGACTAAAGGTTTGACCACCTCTGCCTATCCTCTATGGCCAACTAGTGGCTTAGGTGTTTGGCTAACTAATGGGTCAGTGTGTGTGTGTGTGTGTGTGTGTGTGTGTGTGTGTGTTTGTGTGTGTTTGTGTGTGTGTGTGTGGCTTAGCTCTGTACTCTGATTTGTTAGATTACAAACAAAATATCACTACAATGGTAATTACTAATGATAATGCAAGGCATAGCAACTAACAATGGGAAAGAATGAAACATTTTAAATTTAAATTACTATATTTGCTATTGGTAATACCAGGAGTGGGGGGGCGAGGCCAGCCTAGACTGCATAGTGAGGCCCTGTTTGAAGCAGCAGCAGAAAAAGGAAGATGAGAAAAGGTAGGAAGAGAAGAACAAAACAATGATTCTACAATTTTGAGATATGTCTTTTACTATCATTGTTCGCTTGCACGGCCTTCTTTAAAATGGGCCTTTAAAAAAGAGCAGTTTTGTGTTCACAGAACAATTGAGCAGAGCATAGAGAGATCTTGATTGTATATTAAATATAGAAAATCTTTGGGCTTCCAGCTCACAAATAATGATGGGGAGACTTATTAAGAAAGGTCTTTGCTTAGGTTTGTTCCTAACTAGTTAAAGTTACCCACTTATATTAATCTACATTTTGCCTCAATGGCCTTTTACCTCTTGATGCCAACTTAGTGCAGACACCCGATCGGCATAGTGCACTACAGCCCAGAACTCACAGGCATGTACCACCTCTCAGGGCTGGTGCATGGGCCAGAAATCGAACCCGGGTCAACTGCTTGGAAGGCAGCTATGCTCACCACTATACTACCAACGTGTACCTCCCATTTCCTCTCTATGTCCTCTGCCATCTCTCCTGAACCTAGATTCATCCCCAGTATCTTTCTCTGCCCGGAAGTCCCACCTAACCTCTTTCTGCTTAGCTATTGGCCATTCAGCTCTTTGTTAAACCAATCCGAAGGTGCCTTGGCAAAAACATCATCACAGTGTACAAAAAGATAATTCCACAACAACTAGACATATTTCTTGGTACTGGGAAAAAAATATGACAAAAGCAACTTCATGAGGGCAGAGCTCTTTTGTTTTGTTTTGTTTTGTTTGGCTCACTGGTTGGGGTACGGTCTCTCATGGTGTGCAAGAGCAGGAGGCACCTGGAAGGAGATGATGCTCAGCTCACTTCCTTCTTTTTTATTCGGCTCAAGACTCAAGCCCATCCAAGTTAGTTTTTTTCCCCCTCTCTAGTTAAACCTTTCTGCAAACAGCCTCACAGTCATGATTAGAGGTGTGTCTTTTAGATGATCCAAAATCTAGTTAAGCTGACAGTGCAGACAGACAATCAAAAAATCCACTCTGTCAACATGTCAGCCAAACTTAACTTCGAAATCATGATATGGCCTCTCTATTCCAGAAAACTCTCATATTCACATTATAAGGCAAAAATGTACTTATTATATTTTGTATAGTACTCAAAGCTCCAGTATAGTTCAAAGTCTAAATACAAAGTCTCTGCTGGAGCTCGGCCAATCTCTTATGAGGCCATGTAAAAACAAAAACAAAAAACAAAAAACTAGTTACACACTGCCAATATTCAATGGCACAAAGTCTGAAAGAGAGAAATAAGGTTATAGTTATAAACAATGGGACCACAGCAAGACCTAAACCCAGTAAGGTAATCACAAGATTCTGCCTCTCCTTATCTGGTGTCTGGGGCTGATGATGGCGTCATCCGGGCCTTGTGTGGGGTGGTGGGTACCCTGCCCACTCAGCTCTCAGCCTAAAGCACATATGGCCTCTTAGTTACTTGGAGGGCCTTCACTTCCAACAGCATCTGTGTCACTTCAGGAAAAGGAACCTACTTAACTGAAAACCTCAAAACTCGACTTTGATGTTAACAGCCTAGTGATTTGGTTTATTCTAAAGTGTCTTATTCCCAGTTCTGCACTTTCCATGTTATAGTCTTCTGAGGTCCACATTGAACTGGCTTGGATGTCTCACTACCCTCAGATCAATACACAAACAAACAAACAAATAAATAAAATTAAAAAAAAATCAGTACCATACTAATCTTGACTATCTGCTAGACTCACCTGGGAAGAGGTGAGACTGTCTCAAAAGACCAAAACCAACCTTCCAAACTCTACTAGTTTTGTATTTTGTTAGTAAATTCTGGAGATGTGTTTAAGAGCTTTTGTACAAGTGTGTTTATCCTCCATCTTGTAAAGTCCTGGGGTTCAGAATTAAGACTCATACTCACTACATGGTAATGACAGATGCCCATGGAGGAAATTCAGTGTTAGGCCCCAAATGTCTACATTTGAAATGGGGAAGTATTATATGGTAATCATCCTCAGAAATTTGTATTGTAAAGTTATCCAGTAAGCCAACTTTTTTCATAACATATATATTTAGTTTTGATACACAAGTATTTCAGTAAACTATAGAAAATAAAAGATCAAAATTTACATGTTCCAAAAACAAGTCAATGCTTTTAATGCCACAAAGTAATAAATATGTCCCTAAATCACATACTTGGAGAACTTGATGTTAATTTTAAGAATGTAGACCATTAAACAACACACAGTCTAAATATCCAGTCTCTGAGCTTTGACTGAAAATGTAGACTTCTTTTTTAATATAAGCAACAAAATTATATAAATCAATGAGATACATGCACAAGGGAAATGCTTCCTTTCCTTTTCATAGGACAACAATTCAGCTTAAGTTGACACCCATTTTAATTCTGTTGCAATTTAGATGCAGAAAGAACCCGTGTTTCCAGTTGGTGAGGACGAGGACCCTGCTCACAGTTGAGGAGAAACTGGTAGAGTTCTCGAGGACCTTTGCAATGAGCACCTCCCCCCTCCGAAAAAGAACAACAACAACAAAACAAAAACAAACAAAAAACTGGTCCACAGAGAAGGAAAATGACATTTGTGGCCCTGTCGCTTGTTCCTTCTGCAGTACCATAGCTCCTGTTGTTTGCTGGACCAAAGACCTCAGAATAAAGGCTGCTGTTGTGACTAGTTGCAGCCAGTAGACTAGCTATAAACCCTTGCGATGTGGGCAGTTGCTGTGAAGTTGGAAGTTACCTCTACCTGCTGGGTTAAATATTAAAGGGCCTTCTGGAGGAAGTGGCACTTGAGGGAATTAAAGATTTTGGCTAAGTCTGTGCCAAAGGTCTTCAGAAGGAGGTTCGATCACGTGTTAGTGTGTGTGTGTGTGTGTCCTCTAGTGTCCTGATTTGGGCAGCCTTTGAGCAGTTTCTAGAGCCACGCAACCAGTATTACATCAATGTAATAGAATGATCATAGTGTGTGAACGAGTGACTTCCAGGGGCGAGGCTCTCAGGGCGCATCGAGGAAGGTGAAGAAGGCAGGAAGAGGGTGGGATTTGAAGCCGACCGGGAGGCAGTGCCGGCTCCGAGCGGCAGGGGGCGCCGTGGTGCGGCCGCGCCGGGCCCAGGAGCGACCCGGCGCCTACGGGCTCAGTCCGTCCGCCATGCGCGCGCTGCTGCCGCTCCTGAGCGTCGGCCGAGGGTGGCGCGTGGGGGCCGCCGCCCGCCCTCCGCGTCGCGTCATGTCCCTGTACCGCACGGAGGAGCGCGGCCGTCCCCCCTCGGAGAACTACCGCCTGTTCTTCAGTAAGTGGCCCGCCGAGCTCCGCGCCGGCCCGACCAGCAGCCGCGCCGCCGTGCCCTGCCTGGCCGGGTCCGCAGCCCGCGGCGACGGGGACCGGGGCTCGGCGCGCAGCGGGGACGCGCTGGGCGGCGCGGGGCCAACCGCCCTCTGCAGCGACCGCAGGCGGCCCGCAGCGCCGCACTCCACCCGCTGACCTCCCGCGCCGCCCTCCCGGGAGCGGCCAGCCCATCCCCCTCCGCACGGTCCGGTCGCTTTACTTTGGGGACCGGGGCTCACTCCTGAAATGAGTTTGCATGTGAGCTGGCTGCAAGCGCAGGCGTAGTTGGAGGGAGGAAGTGGGGGGGGGGGGGGGGGGACCAGGCGCTTGGCATAGGCTAGTGTGCAAATGCCCCAATGGAACCTGTTATTTTGTAGCGCTGACTTTGAAAAACAACACTGATAAACCGAGTTTATACCTGAAAGTTTGCACCCTGAATGCCATCCACAAACAGGACTCTGACTGGCGTTCTAGCAAGATGGTGGCACCACCTCTTGCCCATTGAACTAACCTAGAGGGAGGTGTCTGGTGCTGCCCTGAGCTGGGCACCAAAGACAAATGGCTACTCACCTTTTCTTTTCACCGTGTAGTTCCCCCCCCCCCCCAAATGTGAAATAGCCACGAAGATCGAGGTGCCTTCATGCCCCATTGACTTCAGAGCCCTGAGGAGAGCTGTAAGCCATGTAAACTCTTGTGCACACCTGTTAGGAGTTTACACCCTGAAGGGGGTGGAGCTAGAATCTTGGAAATGCGTAGGTTTTGCTCGGAAACCCCAACCTATTTCTTAACTTGTTAAGCATTAGTTTTTTTTTTTTTTTCCACCTGGTAAAACGGGGATGCAAACATTGCTGTGTGTGCAAAGTAGTCACTAGGTTTATAGTGTAACTTGTAATCATTAATAACTATACTTTTTATAGTTACCTTTCTGGAACTTGAGGTTGAGGATTGTTTTATGATAAAGGAGCAAAGCTAATTTAAACTCTTGTCTTCTTGTTTTCTTTTGATTTTTGAATCAGTGCCTGCCTCTGCCTTCTGGATTGAATACAGGGGCCTCTTCATTTGACAAACCCTCCTAAGTAATGCATCTGGTACTAAATCGTTTCTTAAAAATTAGTTTCTGTGCTACAATTTTTCCATCCTGTCTTGTTTAGTCAAGACTGATTAGATTTTTTAAAAGGGGAGTGGGCTCTGCACACAGTGGGAGCCTGGGTAAGACACCAGTCTCAAAAACAAGAGTAATAATAATAATAATAATAAACCCCAAGGAGAAGCCCTTAATAAAGTAGACTCATTTCTGAATGGATTGTGTCCCCAAAGTTACAATGTAACAGTTACTGGCAATGTTCTCCATAAAGATACTGTTACCTAATGACAGCTTCCTAAGCAGAAAAGCTCTTATGTATAATATGGTGAAATGTTCTACATTTACAGTAAGTACGGTCACATGTAGTGAATGTGTTCTGTCAGAAACAAACAACATTAGTTGTTCTACAATGTCAGTTAATTTAATAACAGTAAATTTAGAAGCTACTAGGGTTTGGTTGGGCCATACTTGGCCAAGTAGTCTATTTCCCTTGATTGCTGGCCAGGGTTAGCATTCTGGAGCTCTGTCTCCTGATCCTTGGACCCAGTTGATGATCAGATGACAGGTTGATGGTAGTTATAACCCTTCAGGATTAAGTGGTCTTGATAAAAAACAAGGGGTAGAAATAGGATAGGCAGTTTATGGTGGAGGACTCTGGAAGTAGACTCAGCCTTGGGGAAAGCTCAAACACCTGAAGCTATGTTAAGGCGATGGGAGGAATAATTATCCCTTTCATATGTAATGGATAATGTAGTTATCCTTCCCAGAAGCCCCACCCTCAGCATAGATGCTTGCAGAACTTCCTAGCATAGCTGAGCTTGTCCACTCTTCTGAGTTACTTAGAAAACAGCTCTTTCTTTTTTCCAAAGCTTAAGTGTGAGTTTTCCGATTCTCTGGGCTTTTTCATTCTTTCTCCAGAGCTGCCCATGTCCCTGTCACCATGTGGCTGCTTACAAACTGTGGCTTTCTTTCTTCCTCTTGATTTCTAATAAAATCGGTGTCACACTTGAAGTCTATTTCTAAATTCTAAATTCTATGAGTAAGACTAGGAACCTCAAAGAAGAAATCCTCATTTGCCCAGTACTATATTGGGCAACATGCTTTATGACATCCAGGTGAGGATGTTGTACCTTTTCATTTATCTTTTTGTTTGATAAATTCTTGGGTCTGGCTTTTCTGATAGGGTTTTGTTACATTTGTGAAGTGTGTGTGTGTGTGTATGCATGCATGCACATGCCAGTTGCATGTGGGAGTTGGTTCTCTTCCTCTAACATGTGGGTCCTGGAGATCAAATGCATGTTATTGAGTTTGCAGCAGGTGTCTTTAGGCACTGATCTATCTTTCCAGAGCTTGATAAGATTTTAATGTGCCATGTGCTTATTTGGTCCCAATGTACTTGGATAATTTGATAGAATATCATTGTGTGGACTTTTAGGGGTGATTTATTTCTTTATCTATATCCTTGATTGATTAATTGATTTGTCTGTGCTGGTGGTGTTCTTCAGGCAGTGTTATTTACATGTCTGCCAAGGTGCCGAGTCCTCCTGCCTCTGCATTTTTGCTCAAAATGGAGTAAATTCTGCTTGTAAAATGGAGTTTCTCAGGCTAAGGCACAGCCTGAAAAACTACTGTTATAACGAGATATATTGAGATCTACCCTAGATAAGGGCACACTGTAGTCTCCGTGCAGTACGGGACAGCAAAAACTGTGCTGAGCAGTGGAGAGGTACAAGATGTAGTCATGTACCCTGCCCTCAAAATAATGTAACTAATGGCTAAGAATATAAAAACAGAGAAAAGCTGTTCAAGAGCCTGGAGTCTACAGCACAGCTGGCCAAGCACTGGATTTGGAATGGGGAGGCCTGGATCTTAATCATGGTCCTCCTGCTGGGTGCTGCTGGGCAGGTGGTGGCAGTGTATCTTCTGGGGACAGTTCTGCCCTAAAAGGAGGCAGCTGACCCTGTGGTACTCCTCAAGGTCCTTTGTGCACTAGTATTCCTTCAAGGATTTGAATGCATTAGTAATAGAAATTCACATAATCTGTATTGGGAAAGGTCCGTGATGGGTATCTCCGAGACTACACTGTATTTTTTTTTTTTTTAAGCACCAAATGTACTTAAGATTATTCTGAAACTCAGATGCCATAAGTAAAATTGATTTTTATTCAGTTGAGTAAATAGAGCAGAACAGAAGAAGGAAAAACAAGCAAAAGGTTTTATTGAAGTAAATGGCAAGGATCTGAGTAAAAGCAAGTACTTACTATCTGGGGGGAGGTTCAAATGGCGGGACTCTTACTGGAAAAGTTGAGTTAAACAGTTCCTGAATTACCACCAGATGGCATCAGTGGCCCAGGACTTTTTCTACTTGCTGAGAGGGATGGATGAAGTGATGGGAATCTACCTGAGGGTAAGTTGAGGAAAGGGAGGCAGCCCCTCCCCCTTGCCCTGTGGCCCTGCTTAGTGTCTTACCGAACTTTATTCACTTCTCTTTGTTTCTGAACATTATTTTATAAATCGTGGAATGGGAGACTTGAGCCCAGTAACCGTTTTTCAAACTACGCTTACTTGAACACAAGTGTCCCTTGAGATTCTAGGTTTGCCTTCAAACACAGGGTTTTGTCACTTAATAAACTAAAACGTTTCTCATTTAATACCTTCTTGGAGAATAATAATGTGCATATTAAAGTTCTGGAAAATTCTGATGTAAGGCAGTGCATCCCAAACGTTTGAACTGTGAGTACTTATTTCTTAGAACATTGCTAATGTCTGAGTAGCTCTGGAGTTTCCTGGAACTCAGTTTAGGAAGTACCATTCAGGGTGATTCCTTCAGCCTCTAGAAGCTGGTAGGCTATGGTGATAGACACAAGCCAGCAAGGCATATGAGCTTTAGTTCTGACTTCACCATCTTGGACAAGTCACCTGGCTGAGCTAAGCATGGTATGACCTCTCTGGCCTTTTAGCTCAGTTTGTCTCTAGCATAGGGTTAGGGGTAATCAGAGAATTTCCATGCCTGCTCGATGAGGTGTGCATACAGAGAGATGTGCAGGCAGTGAGATGTGCATGCAGTGAGGCGTGTTGTGAGGCGTGCATGCAGTGAGGTGTGTATAAAAATGGTCAGTGTCTCATGGCAGTAGTTACTAAATTATGCCATTTTGTAACGAGTACGGTTTTTCTGCCTGCCACCTGGTCTTGTCCTGCTGCCACGCCGCCAGCCCAAAATAACGCACAGAGATTTTGTATTTGATATTATGTTGTTTGTCAGGTGCTAGTTTCTTATCGGCTAGCTCTATCTTAATTATTAACCCATTTCTATTTATTTCCACGTGGTCTTACCAGGGAGAGGCGGCTGGCGGTTCTGGTCTCTCCAGGCTTTCCATCCTGACTCCTCCTTACTACTTCCTATTTCCTCCTTGTCTCCTAGTCCCTCCTATCTTCCTTTCCTATTGGCCAACAGTGCTTTATTATTAACCAGTATGAGAAACATATACAGAATGACATCTCCCATCATCTCCTCTTTTCTGTCTAAAATAACATGAAGGGTTTTAACCTTAACATAGCAAAATATATCACATAACAGTTATCAAATAATCACAGTTAACACTATTTAGTCCATTAACATTTAGCAAGATTTGAAGAAAATATTCCATCATCTATCCTATCTTTGTGTGTCTAAAGTAACTTATCTTTAATACTAAGGAAAACTATAACTATAACTATCTGTCTTCAACTCCTTCAAAGACCACAGAAGGATAATATATAAGCTCTAGAAATGACAGAGACATCTTGCCTTTTCAGTCACCCGAAGTTCTTCTGTAATCTTCCATCTTCAGCCCATAGGCCATAGTATGTCTGACAGACTCTCCAGTAAAGCAGAAAACTTTA